ATGTTTTCAAAAATATTATGGAATCTATTTTTGGATCAAGGCAAATGTTTTTCTATTTTCAGTGTGTCGCAGTTCGACAACTTAGCACTCTTCAATATTTTGAATGGTGCTCAAACGAGAAAAATGCTCGCTTCGAAAAAGATTCGAATAGTAGGTTTTGTAGAGCTTGAAATTCTCTATCTTTTGGTATGTAAAAATACTTTTAATTTGAAGAGGAAGTACGAAAAAACTGCAGTAACATTTAGTTCAGTTTATTATGGCACACCCGTTATATCTACCTGTTGCACTATTATCCAATATTCTTAAATCATAATGTGTTTGACATCTATAATTTGCCGATTGTCCATAATCCCATACGACTGATACTTTATCATTATTTTCAATTGATTGAACTGTTCCAACATGTCCTTCACCACCATCTTGTTTTTGCCATTTCCACTCTGGTCCTCTAACAACTCTCGTACCAAGTGCATATTGATCAAGACGTAAAATAGCATTATTTAAATTATGAGATCGATTTGCAATATCAACATTTGATCGTATACGATTTGATTCATTATTTTGTAATCTTGTTACTTGATGTATTAAAGAAGTTTGTTCGTTTGTACCAGCTACCGACTCAGATAAGGCCATTCAATTTAACTACATGATCTGGAAAAAAATAATAAATAAATAAAATATCATTGACTATGATTTTATTTTTTTGTTTTCTTCTCTAAAATGAGAAAAAAAGATGCCAGTCAGAGAGTAACGTTTAATAATAAATAAAAAAAAAATGTCAATTTATTTGCAATAATCAAACATATTCTACAAAAGTTAAAAAATAAATTGAACATGATTAATATTTAAATTCAATTCTTTATGTGCAATTATTATTTGTTTTTTTTCAATGATATACTTTTACTTTTTAAAAGTATATCATTGGAAAAATTGCACTATAAAAAATCGACATACTTATAGAATTTTTTTCTATTTACTTTAATATCTAATTTAAATCATAAGCATGAAGCATTTTCTTTTTCATTTTTAACATAGACAACCTACTTTTTTTTTTTATAATTTTTACTGTTCACAATTTGATGTCAATGGTACGATTTAAACTCATAAATAGTTTCGATAAACGGAACAGTTACAGTTACAATTAGTAGTACTTGTCATTGGTACATGCCATTTTGAAAGACTTAAATTATTTCTGCTTGATCAATTTCGCTTATTTACTGATAAACTAGACACTTTATTGACGAAACGTTGGATGAAAAATGCAGATAAATCATGTTCTGTCAATCAGTATACATTGCCACTATTGCGTTTGAAAATTGTCTATTTTTTTTTCTTCTACACTTTCCAGACTAAACTAAAAAAAAGAAAAATCTCTATGCACTTTCTTTCAATGCTCTTTTACTTTTCTTAAAATCTTGATTCTACTAATTCATTGATCCCATCCATTTAACTACAGACATGAATAATCAAAATACGATGAATATTGTCTAGTTTAAGTTGTTTTCATTTTTCTTATAAGGTGTGACATATAAATGCAAAATTAAAATAAAATTTCTTTTTTAAACTTGAAGGATTTTTCGACCTTTTAGATGCTTCAAGTATTTTCAATTTTTTCATCTTTAAAAATTATTTTTTAAAAAAATTAAAAAAATACATTTTTCTTAATCAGTTCGAAATATTCTCGATTCATTGATGTATAATAAGTTCAAAAAAAAAAGCTTTTTTTGCTTTTAATTTTGCATTGTACATAATTTCAATGTTTTTGTTGACATGTGATTCAAAGAATAGTATTTCATGAACGTAGAGTGTGGGAGAAGAATATCTCATCTTTCTGCTATTGCTATGGATATTGGATGTTGACAAGTCTCTGACAGACTTGTCAATTTTGATATTTTTCATGTAACTGACAACTTCTAAAACTCGATTACTTATCTCTTTACCAACAAAACTTGTTCACGTCTGTTACAAGAAGATACAATCCCACCTGTCTAAAAAACTTTATCTAATCATTTTAAATCATTACATTTACTGAAAATATCGAACAGTGAGTTAGCTAATATCGTTACTAAAATTAATTAACTAATAATAATTTCTTAATATTTCTCAACAACATTAATCGCACCATCGCACAAAAACTACACGAACTTTTTATCATAACTACAACACGATGTTATTGCATTTTTCAACACACAGAATATTCACATTTTTTCAGATCACATTTATAATGCACGTTGTTCAATCAATTTCTAGAATTAATATGATAATGATTTCTGAATAATTTGTTCGTCATTTGGTCACATTTTTTCACTTAAACAAAACTAAGAAAGACAATCTTTGAATACATAAAGGGTGGCCCAGAAGTTCTGACTCGATTTGTATAATAATTTTTCTAAAGTAAAACACATGTTTGTAAATTTCTCTCTATGATGAAAAGACGCAGTAAAATACGCTCTACAAAATGGCTTTTGATTGACTCCGCTAGCTCATATAGTAAGAAAGTTATAGACTTAGAAATGTGCTTCACAAAAAAGAAAAACTAACGGTGAACCCTTCGTATGGTGGTACT